AAAAAAAAAAAAAAAAGAAGAAGAGTGATCTGAGAAATGTGCACCAGTTATGGGGCAGTGTTGAGGATCTTAGGTTACAAGCAGCTCACTGGCTGACTGTCCATCAAGCACAGTGCAGCAGGAATCTGCAGCCAGAGCAGCTTCAGAGCAGAAGCATAGTCACCGCCATCCATGGAACTCAGTGGTGCCAACCATGGCATTGTGGATGCCACCAAACAGGCCGAAAGAGGAGAACAAAGAGCTCTTCTTTGAGCTCTTTGTAAAGGCCACTCAAACATCCAAGCACAGAGGCAAGGAAAATTAATGAGAAGGAGGAAGTGAGGAGAAAGTAAGGGAAGGAAGTGAACAAGAAATATACACGAGGAGGGACCAACAAAATAATTCTGGCAACATGAAAAACCAGAACAGATCAACCCCACAAGGGATCATGAAGCAGCTACCACAGAGAATCCCTCCTATAAAGAAATTGTGGAAATGACAGAGTATAAAAACTATGAAGAGAATTGAAGAGAAAGCTGAAAACTACCAAAAGGAAATTCAGAATTAGACCCAAGAAATGAATGAAATATGTGATGAAATTATGAAGGATATATTGGTGTTTGAGGAATTGAAGGAGTCATTCAGGGAACTTCAATATGTAGTAGAAAGTATCAATAACAGATTAAACCATGGAGAAGAAAGAATCTCAGAACTAGAGGATAAGTCTCTTAAGCTAACTCAGGCATTTAAATAGACAAAAAAGAAAATAAAAGCAGAGCAATCTCTTAGAAAATTATGGACTTAACTAATTGTAGAAACATACGAATTATAGGTATCTCTGAAGGAGAAGAGCGAAAAGATATTTGCATGTTGCAAATCTGACAAAGGGTTGATAACCAGAATCTACAGAGAACTTAAATTAGTCAACAAAAAAAGAGTAAACAATCCCATTTATTACTGGTCAAGAGATATGAATAGAACATTCTCCGAAGAAGACAGATATTCAAATGGCCAATAAACACATGAAAAAATGCTCATCATCCCAACTCATCAGAGAAATGCAAATCAAAACCACTGTGAGATATCATCTAACTCTGGTAAGAATAGCCTATGTCACAAAGTCCCAAAGCTGCAGATGCTGGCAAGGGTATGGAGAAAAGGTAACACTTTTACTCTCTTGTTGGGATTATAAACAAATCCAGCCTCTTTGGAAAGGAGTATGGAGAATCAGGGGCTGAGTGCAGTGGCTCACACCTATAATCCTAGCACTCTGGGAGGCTGAGGCAGGTGGATCCCTTGAGCTCAGGAGTTTGAGACCAACTTGAGCAAGAGCAAGATCTCATTTCTAAAAATATCCAGGGGTTGTGGTAGGTGCCTGTATTTCCAGCTGTTTGGGAGGCTGAGGCAAGAGGATTGCTTGAGCCCAAGAGTTTGAGGATGCTGTGAGCTATGACGCCATGGTACCTACCAAGGGCAAAAAGATGAGACTCTGTCTCAAAACAAAGTATGGAGAATCCTCAAAGAACTAAAAGTAGACTTTCCATTTGCTCCTATAATCCCATTACTAGGCATCCACCCAGAAGAAAAACAATCATTTTACCATAAACACATTTATGCCAGAATGTTTATCACAGCTCAGTTCACAATTGCCAAGATGGGGAATCAGCCCAAGTACTCATCAACACATGAATGGATTAATAATCTGTGGTATATGTATACCATGGAATTATTCAGCCATAAAAAGATGGAGGCTTGGTGCCTGTAGCTCAGTGGTTAGGGCGCCAGGCACATACATTGAGGCAGGTAGGTTCGAACTTGGCCCAGGCCTGCTAAACAAGGACAACTGCAACAACAACAAAAAATAGCCAGGCATTGTGGTGGGCACTTGTAGTCCCAGCTACTTGGGAGCCTGAGGCAAGAGAATCACTTAAGTCCAAGAGTTGGAAGTTGCTGTGAGCTGTGATGCCATAGCACTCTACCCAAGGGAACATAGGGAGACTCTGTCTTAAAAAAAAAAAAAAAGATGGAGACTTTACATCTTTTGTATTAATCTGCATGGAGCTGAGAACATTCTCCTTAATACAGTATCATAAAATGGAAAAGCGGCTCGGCGCCTATAGCTCAACTGGCTAAGGCGCCAGCCACGTACACCTAAGGCAGCGGGTTCGAGTCCCCAGCCCGGACCCGCCAAAACAACAATGACGGCTGCGACCAAAAAATAGCCGGGCGTTGTGGCGGGCACCTGTGGTCCCAGCTACTTGGGAGGCGGAGGCAGGAGACTCGCTGGAGCCCAGGAATTGGAGGTTGCTGTGAGCTGTAATGCCACGGCACTCCACCCAGGGGGACAGCTTGAGGCTCTGTCTCAAAAAAAAAAAAAAATGGAAAAGCAAGTGTCCATTGAACTCATTATAGTTTAAATTTGCATTTCCCTAATGACTAGTGATGTTAAACATTTTTTCATATGTTTGGAGGCCATTTCTCTGTCTTCTTTTGAAAAAAAAAAACATCTATTCATGCCTTCTGTCCATTTTTTGATGGGGTTGTTTATTTTTTTCCTTGCTGATTTGTTTGAAATTTTTTGTAAATTCTGGATATTAGTTCTTTGCCAGATGTATAGTTTGTGAATATATTCTTTAGTTTGTCTGTTCACTCTTTTGATTATTTCCTTTGTTGTGCAGAAGGTTCTTCATTTAAGTAAATCTCATTTATTTATTTTTGTGTTTGCTGTATCTGCCTTTGGGGTCTTAGTCATAAATTCTTTGCTGAGGCCAATTATTAAAAAGTAAAAAAATAAACAGATAACTAGCATGGACGCAAAGAGAAAGGAATACTGTTGGTGGGACTGCAAATGTGTACAACCTCTGTGGAAAACAGTATGGCGATTTCTCAAAGAAATAAATGTAGACTTCCCATTTGCTCCATCAATCCTATTGCTGAGTATCTACCCAAAGGAAAAAAAGTCATTTTATCAAAAAGACACCTGTACGGCTCGACACCTAT